GCAAACTAGTTCGCACCACAAGGTAAGCCGTGCGCGAACGGCCTCGTCGAACGCATGCACAGGCAACTTAAAGCCGCTTTGATGGGTCACGAGGAAACATGGTACAAGTCGCTGCCTGTGGTCCTACTCGGCATGCGCGCAGCTCTCAAAGAGGACCTGCAATGCTCACCGGCCCAGCTAGTTTACGGGGAACCCCTGCGCTTGCCCGGTGAACTTATTGCCCCTACTCCAGCTCCAGATCGCGTCGAGGACTTAACCAACTTCGCCACTCAACTCCGCCTACAGATGGCACGACTGAGGCCAACACCTGCCTCCCGCCATGGTCAGCGGCCAGTCTTCGTTTCGAAGAACCTCTTGACTGCTACACACGTCTTCTTGAGAGGACACAGTCAGACCTTCTCCCAAGTCGCCCTAACCTCATAAGGTAGTGTCTAAGACGGATAAGACAATAACGATCACTGTCGGTGACAGAAACACGCAAGTGAGTCTTGACCGTGTAAAACCGGCATATATCCTAGACCAGTGATTCTCAACCACTGTGCCGCGGCACTTTAGTGTGCCGCCAAATTTCATAACTGTGCCGCCAAATTTTGCAAATATATAATAATGTTAATATTATTAAATTTTAATAAAAAAAATATTTTTTGGCATTAGCCAACATTAAAACTAAAAAAAGATCAAGATTGTTAAATGTAGAAGACGATATGAGAGTAGCATTGTCATTTTTACGACCAAATATAAATGAAATTATCGAAAAACATCAAGCTCAAATTTCGCATTAAAAATATTTTCATTATTACCTTGTAATTAATCCCTTAATAAACGTTTAGTTATTATTGTAATATATATTAGTTTATTTCATATATTAAAAATTTTTGTCATAAACTATTTATGCAGTGTGTTGTAGTAAGTAAATAATTTTTATCTTTTTCTTTGTGTGCCGCCAAATTTTGAAATCGTTTAATATGTGCCGCAACAAAAAAAAGGTTGAGAATCACTGTCCTAGACAATTCGGTACCGTCAGCACCTGGAGTTCGAACTGCTAACTCACCTGCTTTACCTACTCCAGCTGCAACTCCAGTTTGAACCTATAATTACTTTAATTGCTCTTCCATTTATCATTCTCATAATAGATTATAAGCATGTTGTTTGTTTATGTTTAGGTTAAGATTTTATTACATATTGTGTTTTTTATTTTTTTGGATGGGCTAATTTTCTGCCTAGGATGCCCTGTGATGTGGCGGATTAAAACAACCGCCGCGTCTATCCTTCTGATCAATACAAATAACAGAGAGCACATTCCTGCGTTTTATTTAATGGCATTCCGCACATTTCATGCCATACATAGTATGCATTCATAAAATGAAATGTAACGTCCAGACTTTAAAGTGTATTTTTGAATGAATAGCAAATAAAATGTAATTTTAAACAATGTGAATAGTCAATGATAATAGCACCTAAGATACATTTGTGGTACAAAATACGACACGAGTATTACGTGCGAGTTTTGCGTTCCTGGAACCGGTACTGGTACTAGGGACTGAGAACCATTTCTGCTGTTTTCTCTATTCCGTGGGTAAGATTATGTGGATGAGGAAAAATGAATGAAAATGAAAAGTTGTGGTTATTGTAGTTATCTCAAAATTAACTACAAATTGTGTTTTTCCCCATAAAAATCAAAATAAGCATATATTTTTAGAAGTAAAATATAAACCGTACCGTACCGTTGAAAAGTCATTCAGGTCCAATTTTATAAGAACTTTGCCCACCGTCTTTAAAAAATGGACCTGTCAACACTGACATAAAAATAGACGTCAAAGTTAAATCAGTGATACGGGTAGGTATGTCAACTTCTATAAAATGTCATTAGCACGCGTTTCGATCAGATTGTGTGTCGCGGCCGCGAAGCAGCACAAAGTGACAAGTAATCACTGCAGTAGGAGCATAGCAAGTATACCCACCATCTCAAAGCACTTTGGGCATCATAAGATGTACGTCGCCGAAGAAAGAGGGTCACCATACTCACCCGACTACCGGGTTTACTTCAGTAAGTTGACATTATTAACTTAGCTTACTACTAAACACTATTAGACTCCGCAACGCATTGTACATATAAATGATTATTTTAACTCTGACATCATGGATAATCTTTCCACCCTTCACCTTTTTATCGTTTATCTTAATAAACTACTAAGAAGTGGTATAAGTGATTTTTATCAATAAATACCTACAACAGTGTTAGAATCGAAAGTAGTTCACATTTATTATTCTCAATTCCAGTATGCCAAATATAACGGCCTTGAAATCACAAATATTGGCTTATTACATTCACTTTAAGAGACCTTAGTATGTTTATTAACCTTGTATATTTTATTTTTAATGTTAATTTGTGTAAAAGTTATTGTAATACATTTAAATTTTTTGAAAATTACCGATAAAGAAGTTGGTAGCGAAATCAAGTATTGTCAGATTCTATTAAATTTAAAGATTTACCGCAGAAAATGCCAGCTTTTACACTTTACAGATAGCAATGAAAAAGCAAGTTTTTATGATTATTACCGAGTCCGAGGGCAGATTTATATTTTTTATTATAGAATAAGTAATGTGGTACATAAGCTACATATTTTTTGAATTGTTATTTCTGTATTACTTGCATTTACTTACTAGAATATATAAAAGTTATATATGCTCAATTCATACATATGTGTTGTACATGATTATGTCACATTCTATTATATGTGAAACATTATAACCAGATAATATTTTAATAATTTCTTACACATCTGATACTGCATATCATGGACTTTGTCGAGAAATGCTTATTTCTACTTAATATGGCAAATATGCTCACAGCAGCATCACCAAATTCAGCACAAACTTTGTTCAGCAATAGAAATCTTTTCTTTATATCATAGTCATATTTTTTAAAGAAAAAATTTTTCATGAAATTAGTAGCAAATATTTATTTCTTAAAAGATTTTATAACTATTATAAATGTAGTAAACATAATAGAATCTTTGATATATACATTATATTCTTATTGCTAGAAAACATAATGTAACAACAAAAAACAATATTAGGGCTTATCTTCTATTAATGAAATATAAACTATTATGCTTTACTTTATCATTGTCTAATCATTGACATATGGATTTCCTTGTTGTAATCATATCAGTGAGATATGATTACAACTTAAGTATTGCATAACTGTTGCACCAAAACCAATAATATAAAAATGCTAATTAAATAGTACTCAAACTGGCAAGTGGGTATAGTAGTACTACAAAGGAAGTAGATAGATAAATTTTGTTTGTCTTGACACTCCACTTGATAATTTAAAAGCACTCTTATTATATAGCCACTATCTAATCATTTTCATTGGTGATTTTTACAGTTCCAAACCCAAAGGGTAAAATGGAATCTTATAAGACTTCACTGTTTGTCTGTCCGTCTATCATCAGGCTGTATCTCATGAACTGTGATAGGTAGACAGTTGATATTTTCACAGATGATGTATTTCTGTTGCTGTTATATCAACAAATACTAAAACACAATAAAAAAAATATTTAAGTGGGGCTCCCATACAACAGACATGATATTTTAGCTGTTTTTATAGATAATGGTAAGGAATCCTTCATGCGCGATTGCAACTCTCACTTGACCGGTTCTTTAATAAGTATATTATTCTATAGCTGGCAATTAATCATCATTATTTCATCATTTCGAATCCTGCTGTAAACTATTTACTGCAAAAAATTTCTATTCATTAACCTTCATAATTCCATAAAATTATTGTTTGGCATTAAGAAATAAACACGAAATAATTTGTTTATTAAAAGATCTTGTGACATCAATATTTCTGATGAAGCAACAGAATCACAAATACAATGGAAGCCCAAAAACTTAAAATTTGCCTCTTTGCAAAAGGGTACTTTGACATTGTAACTAATCTAGCTCCTAAACAACTTCTACTCCCATTCTAAAATTTAGCAAGGATTAGTCTATACAATATTATCTATATTAAGAAAAAGAAAATAAAATGGTCCAGCTTTGTGAAATTTTGAAAATAATTTAAAATAGAACATGCCTACTTTTTTGTGTAAAATTTCTAAAACTGTTTTTAACCAGAGTTTTAAATTGTAATAAATATTATATTAATACATAGGTAACATTTGAATATGTTATAACTACATATATAACATATTCTAGTAAAACTGGAGTCGTGAACATTTTTTTACTGTCTGTTTAACATTACACTTATTGCAAAGGCTGCATCCAGAGATCTCAAGTAATGCTTGGCTAACAATAGATTTACGAGTAAGTGCCAAGTCACAAGCCACGTCAGAACTTCGCAATAGAATCGAACTTTGTTCAAGTGCAAATTTACGTCTTTGAGTGGAACTGTACAAGACGTTCGCCGACAGTAATTTAACTGTTTCTGTTCTTCTTTTAACTATTTTTTTAAAATGGAACAGATGTCAGCCCCATAAAATGCAGGTCTGATACATTAGCGCAATTGATTGTTACCGCCTTACAATGAGACACATTCGTCTATTAACCTAAAACCGGTTCGAGTCGCTCCAATGGAAAGCTTTGTGTGGGTCAGCGCCGAATACGAAACATTATACATTATTTGTTACATAATATCGACTTTAAAACTTTCACAATCGCTCTCAGCGAGGTACAATATTCGAATTAAAAGCTACTGAATTTGTGATTTTAGTTTTTTATTTTATTACTTGAGCTATATAGTATATATGGCGACGGAGCTCTGTGTTGCAGAGGCGACAAACACGGAATATTAGCTAACTGTTCGACCGGGAGTCGAAATCGTGTTTAACGAATGTGGCCGCCTTTTAAACGGCGTCGGCGTGTTCGTGCACAGAGGACGAGAGCGGGCCGATATCGCCGCTGCACGACATCCCGCTGTGGGCGGACCGCGGGCAGCGGCTGCTGCACATGGTGGTGGAGGTGCCGCGCTGGAGCAACGCCAAGATGGAGATCGGCCTCGGCGAGCCGCTGAACCCGATCAAGCAGGACGTGAAGAAGGGCGCGCTGCGCTTCGTGAGCAACGTGTTCCCGCACCACGGCTACATCTGGAACTACGGCGCGCTGCCGCAGACGTGGGAGGACCCGCGCCACGTGGACGCCGGCACGGAGGCGCGCGGGGACAACGACCCCGTCGACGTGATCGAGATCGGCGCGCGCGTGGCCGCGCGGGGCGACGTGCTGCGCGTCAAGCTGCTGGGCGCGCTGGCGCTCGTCGACGAGGGCGAGACGGACTGGAAGCTGATCGCCGTGGACGCGCGCGACCCCGACGCGGCGCGGCTGAGCGGCGTGCGCGACGTGGAGGCGCTCTACCCGGGCCTGCTGCGCGCCACGGTCGAGTGGTTCCGCCTCTACAAGGTGCCCGACGGCAAGCCCGCCAACCGCTTCGCCTTCGACGGACAGCCCAAGGACGCCGACTTCGCCTACCGCGTCGTGGACGAGGTGCGTCTGCCTCCCTCGCTCTCTCCCTCTCTCTCTCTCTCTCTCTCCTCCCCACGGCCTCCCCACCGTAGCTCACGGCGCGCTCTGTCCGCAGGTACACGATTTCTGGCGCGCATTGGTCACCGGTGAAGCGGAGGCCGCAGACATCAACAAGTACGTTTTCGCAAAGCATTGCTTTTTATACGTCATGTCATTCGTTACGATTCTTTTAGAGTAACTATCGTTGTCATACCTCCGGCGATGAGTCCGGCTGGTGCCCGCCCATGGCCCCATGGCCGGGCACTCCCGCAGTGAAAGTGGTCGCCCGCAGGAGCAACGTGAGCGTGGAGGGCAGCCCGTTCCAGTTGGGGCGCGAGGAGGCCGGCGCTCTCCTCGCCGCCGCGCCGCCGCTGGGCGCGCCGCAGCCCTTGCCGCCAGCAGGTGCGTACCCACACATGGCAACTTCAACGCGGGCTAGGCTTTTAAATCGGTTAAGCCGTTTCTGAGATTAGCGTTAGACAAATAGATAAACAGACATAGATTGAATTAAACAGATAAACGAACAGTACTTGTTTTGGATTCCAGGCCCTCAGCCTTTATCAACGCAGTAATAATAGTTTTTCTCAAATATCTTCCATGTACCGACAACGTTCAGTTATATTCTTATTATATGTATAGAAGATGCCACACATTTTGCTAGCACGTCTAAGGTTGCTTCTTGTGCTACTAATTTAAAATAGCACGTTCGAGAACTTTATGGGATTAACTTTCAAACGCACATTTTAAAATTTTATTAAATTTAAATTTTATTTTTACAATACAAATCGCGATCAAGAAGTATACTTTAGTGCTCCTAAGTAGCACAACTGTGTAAGGACAGCGATGATGAAACGGCCCCTTTCTTTGCAGTGGACAAGTGGCACTACGTGAGCAGCCTCTGAGCGCCCCCGACTTTCGGCTCCGCGGGGGGGGGGGGGGGTGGAAGGGGGGTGACATGTCATTTTATGTTTAGTTTTAATCATCGGTGTGTCTCGTAGTCATATGTAAGCAAAGGTGCAAAGGTTCAGAATTTTCTTGAAATCGTAAAGAGTTATAAATGGAAGAGGCTATAAGTTTCAGGATCGTGTTATGTTATGTATATATGTAAGGATAATATATACATAACTTTTATAATATAAGGATCATCAATAAAGCTCGTGAAATCTCGTTTCAATTTATTTTATTTTTACTCCCAAAATGGATAGCAAACAGTACAATGTTTGTTATTTAAGCCGCTGTATGTATTAAAAGTAAGTTTTTCAAAGGTCTTTCTAATAACATTTTATAAATTTAATGGCAGCCCAAAAATATATGTTAGGCTTGATCTTACATCTTAATGGGCCATTGTTTTCAAAACACAAAACATTTCTCGATAGAAAAAAAATACATGAAATAACCTTAAAAAAACGAAATTCAAAGGCAAAAAATGTATTGTAAATGAAAAAACCTTATTAATATTAGTGATATAAAATATTAAACATGTAGAAAAAGTACGAAAAGATTATCGCCGCTGTGGGAATCGAACCCACGTCTTCGGCAAAAAATGTGGAACGCTTCACGATTTTGCGTGTCATCCTTGCGATAATCTTTTCGTACTTTTTCTACATGTTTAATGTTCAATCTTAAGTGCAGAGATTAGCACTATAAAAAAAACTTTAAAAAAATAGATATAAAATATTTAAATATCTAGTACTGTTGAGTTCGCGTTAATTTTAATACTCCAATAGACACACTATTGGAGTATTAAAATTAACTCGAACACATCAAAACCCAAACAGGGCCATCAGGACGTTGTTTTAGTTCTATTTCAATTCCACAGGAAGAAACTATCGTCATCATCAGTCGGAAGACGTCCACTGTTGAACAAAGGCCTCGCCCACGCCCATAGAACGCCACAGCGACCAAGGTGACCATCTCAAAAATGCCGAATCTGCCAGACACTAGCAAAAAATCAGCCAAACAACTCCAAAAATATGCCATCATATTATTGTATATGAAACAGACATTCTTTTGCATTTGACTCCTTGGTCGTGCCCTCACTGCTGAGGATCGTGACTCGTATTCAATTGCTGTCTCCATCGATTTCGCTCTGTCGCCTGTTGGAGTGCGGTGCTTATGGGATTTCTACCTTTTAGGATTACGGCCTCCCTGAGGCCTCTTTTATCTTTTACCCTCTGTTTTCCCCATTTGACATAGGCAAATTTAACACAGCTTTTGAAAAGTTTGAAATATTCAAAAACTAAGTAAAAAAATTATTTTTACTTGAAAATCTCTTTCGGAATAATATTTGTTAACAACTGCAAGCGTTGATGTGCTTGTGACTTGTTTAACATTGCAAAATTTTCAAAAATCTGCCACAAATGCTCACACTGACAGCGAATGACACCTTGCCATTTGCATCTATCATCTTCGTAAATTACGAAAGGTAAAAATGTAGAATACACAGTAACTAATAACGAAACAAAACTGAACAACTAAATAAACGTATTGTTCATAACATCACGTTGTAGTGACATCTAGTTAAAAGAAAGGAAAACATAATGCATGTTTTGCCGCCCGCTATCATTATATATGTCGCTACAAAAAATGCTCTATTGTATTAGTGTACCTAGCAGTTTCCTACCCCTGCCTCAGAGTCATCATTTCAGCCTGTTTGAGTCCACCGCTGAACATAGGCCTCCTCCACAGAGTAGATACTTTTATATACCTACCTGACCCCTTATTGTCACTTACCGCTCACTGTTTTGTATACTCTCTGTATAGGTATTATAATATATTCTGTATTAGTTTATCATTGGGCGTTTTAATCAGTGATGTGACGAGTTGAATTTTTTTTGACTCGAGTTACTCGAGTTGATTTGGCTACTGACTCGAATCGCAACTCGAGTTGACTCGCATCGAAGTCTCCGGTAGGGACAAAGGGGTGAGGGGCGGGGGGGACGACGACGACTCGGCCAATTCGGAGAGCACGAGTCAGCTCGACTCGAGGATAATTAGATAGGAAGTATCAAGTCAAGTAAGTATATAATGATGTTGAATCGTGATGTTATATGGCTACTCGAGTCGATTCGCAACTTTGTATGTGGTCTGAATTAATCCTCACCTTTTTCTATACACCTTGACCCCGAACAGTGTCCGACGGTTGGGATTTCAAAGACAAAATTAAAAAGTTCGGACGACCGAGTTGATTCGGTTCAGGTTTGACTCGAGTTACTCGAGTCGCACATCGCTAGTTTTAATTTTATTTTGTAAATGGTACATTCTAAGTTGCTGTTGTATGTACAAATTTCTTATTTATAGGTTATTTATTCATATTAACACTTAAGACATAACTTTTGTCATCTTTGCAAAATACTGATTGGGCTAATAGTCCTGTATATAAAAGATGCCGCGAATACTTGCTATTACGACTAACGGCCGACCCCGGCTTCGATCAGGTATTTAACAAAAATTTTAAATTAACAATTATCACACACACATGAAACCTTCCGAATATTTCGTCTGATGAATAATTTTATGAATTTCTCCATCTATAATGAAATGAAATGAAAAAAAAAACTTGAAAAAACCTTGAAATTATGCCATGACCATCATCGAAAGACCGCTGGCAATTCGGGATTACACTTAAAAGTGATAAATAAATCTGGTTTCCCATAGTTTCGGACATAAATCATCGCATCTTGGGTTTTTTAATGCAGAAAATGCGGAAAACCTGTGAATGAATATGGCGTTGAAGATTACGCGTTGAACGATATTTGATGGGTTAACATTTGCATCTTGATTTAAAGCTTCTCTAAAATGAATGGTTCACCAGCCCTCAGTCTCTGTTGATTACGACATAATATGTAATTCAATCTTTCTGATATCATTTTTGCCATCATATTGACAGTGTATTGAATAAAAACCGACCAAGTGCGAGTCGGACTCGAACGCGAAGAGTACCGTACCATTCAAATTTAAATATCTTTATTCAATATAGTAGTATTATACTTACTTATTGTCAAAAAACACTATTACCGTCAACATTATCTATAAAAACGGCAGAAAATCATGTCTGTTTTACCGTTTGGGAAAAGTTCCTGTACTAAATGCAATGGAGGAATGAATGATGAATGAATAAACGTCCACGCAGAATACAATATACATAATAACAATTAGAACAACAAATTTATGCAATGGGAGCCCCACTGATTTATATTTTTTTTAGTATTTGTTGTTATAGCGGCAACAGAAATACATCGTTTGTGAAAATTTCAACTGTCTAACTATGACGGTTCATAAGATACAGCTTGGTGACATTCGGACAGACAGACAGACGTCGAAATAAATGCCTAAGTTTTTGACATGATCACAGTATGGGATTATCACTCCAATGATTTTAATTGGCGGTAATGATAACCAGTCAATTCTTGATTTGAAGGACCGGCTGCCAACAATTATTGCCTTTGATTTATTGGGATTGATAATGAGGCCATGTGATTTACTCCACTCATGTATGTGATTTAAGTCATTGTTCATAACGGCGATAGCTACTGGCAGATTCTCAAGTGTTGACTGGGTGTAAATCTGGATATCATCCGCATACATATGGTAGAGAGAAGAAATTTTTTGAGTGATTGAATTAATAAAAAAAGAAAAAAGTAAAGGTGACAGCACGCCGTCTTGTGGTACGCCAGCAGTAGTATCACACCAAGATGAAAGTGTTTCATCAACGCGAATACGCTGCCGACGTCCATTGAGATAACTTTGAAACCTGTCAATTACTGATGGTGATAAATTAAGTGAACCCAGCTGACTCAACAGAATATCCAAATCAACTGTATTAAAAGCATTGCTGAAATCCAACAAGGTCATAACTGTGAGCTGTTTATTGTTCATACCCAAACGAATGTCATCGGTAACTTTTATTAGGGCAGTAACCGTACTATGACCAGGACGGAAACCGGATTGTAAGGGATTGAACAAATTATGAGTGTTAAGAAAAAGGTTCAACTGTTGGTAAATGAGCTTTTCAAGTACTTTGGAAAAGAAAGGTAAGATCGAAATTGGACGAAAATCGGAATAATTATCGGGATTAGGTTTTTTAGGGAGAGGTATAATATGAGCAGTTTTCCAAGCATCGGGAAATTTAGAAGAAGAGACACATTCATTTAATATATAAGTGATAACAGGAGTGATAATATCAAGGAGAGGTATAATCATCTTACGGCTAATGTCATCACTACCGACAGCATTCGAAGATATGGACAATATGCTTTTCTTAACATTACATACAGTAAACTGACTAAAAACAAACGGAGGATAATTAGGAGTCGGAGTTACAGAGAAAGATTGAAGAGTTTTAGCTTTGAGTTCATTATCAAAATTGCTAGAAGGTGTAGAAAAGTGTTGATTCAAAAGTTCAACATTAATATTTGAAGGTGTTGAATTATTTGAGTTTTTACCAACTCCGATCGTTTCCAGAAACTTCCACACTCTGGATGAGTGGGCGTTCTCGACTGATGTATGGATATGGCGTCGCTGTGCATCTCTAACCAATGTATTACAGCGATTCCTGATTTTGGCATATTTTCTTTGATTCTCCTCCGTTCTGTTTCTCTTAAGTTTGGACAACGCTACATTTTTCTTTAAAATTTGCTTTTTTAGGTCATCAGAGAGCCAAGGAGCAGGCAGGTGTTTAATCTTATCATAATGTAATGGCGCATGTACATCAAAAAGTTGAGTCAGTAAGGAACAAAAAAGTTCGACTTTTGAATTAATGCATGGTGCACTCTCTATCACTGACCAATCAATTTTACGAGCGTCATCACAGAGCCGGTCAATATCCATTCCTCCAAAATTACGTCGCAGAAGTATTTTAGGTTTCATTTTAGGAGGGCGTAGTTTATACGAAAGAAAG